CCTTCTGCTGCTTATTTATCTGCAATTACAATTACAATCTACAATTAAGAATAGCATTAAATCCTATGCCTTATCTTTAAATAGAAGTTGAGGCTCTGAACTGGAAAACAAATATAGCTGCATACTTGTATGTGTGTACTGCTCAAAACTGCAGGTGTCCTGTCATCATTTTCCCTTCATGGTATTGGACCTGGGTACTTGAGAGACCGCCTGCTGCCAATTACCTCCACTAGACCGATTAGATCCCACAGATTAGGCCNTGCTTTCTTGCGAGCTCCGTGTCGCTTCTCTCCAGCTAACTAACCCGCGTTCCCCGGACGTGCCTGATCTTGGGAGACCCCTCCTCTCCTTTCCACGAGCTCCCCTAGCCCCCCCCCTCCTCTCCCTCGGCTTTCAGCGCCGGCTCAGCCACAGCCAGGCTGGAAGGCCGCAGGCAGGCGAACAAAGGCCCGGAGGAGGGAGGCGGAAAGCAAGCAGCAGCCCCCAGACTCACCTGGCCGGCAAAGCAGCAGCAAGGCGCGCGCGGGGGCGCAGCAGCAACAGCGCTCTGGATGCGGCGGCGGCTGCAGCAGCCGCCTTGGGCTGCCCGCGGCTTGACTCAGCGGCGGCAATTGGGGGTGGGGAGCACAGCAGCCAGGAAGGGCAGCCGACAGCTGAGCCAGACGGATCTCCGCCTGCTTGCCTGCCCGAGCTTGCAAACCGCCCTGGCCGGCTGCCTTAATTTCCACCCGGCCCTTGCTGCGTTTTTACGCGCCGGCTGGCTGGCGGCTGCTGCTGTCCCTGCTGCTCCCCCAGCGGCCGGCTTGGGAAGCCCCCCCTCCCCCTGGCTGGCAAGGCAAAAGAGAGGGGGGGGGGGCTGGAAGCTTGCTCGGGGGCTTAGCAGGGATTTTAGCGGGGGGGGAGAAGGGGGAGAAGCTTCCGGGGGCAGCTGGAGAGGATAGTCAGCCGTGGGGAGGCGCTGCGCAATCGTGCCAGCTACAGCTGATGGGGAGAAAGAGAGAGAGACCGTCTGGACTGTGTCCTTGCAGACCAAGGCTGGGGTTTTTTTGGCGGGGGGGGGACGACTCAGAGCTGGAGAAATCCAACCCCCCAGGGGTATTTTATTTCCCCTTCTCTCCCCTCTCCCCAGCAAGTGAGTGTCGCTTTGCATTCGCCCAACACGCGCAAGGAGACGGGGCTTGGGCAGAGAGTGAAAAATTGGGGAGAAGGGGGGGGGAGAGACCACCACCAGGTGATCATTGCAGGTTTGGGGGAGGTGGGGATGGGGAAAAGGAGAATTAAGACGGAGAGAGAAAAATATAATGTTTGTCTCTCTCTCCTAAAGGTGGTTTGAAAAGGACATTTTAGTGTCTTTTTTTTAAAAAAAAAAATTTAAAAAATATATTTTAGTGTCTTTTTTAAAAAAGATAGTTTGAAAAAGATATTTTAGTGACTTTTTTTAAAAAGATGGTTTGAAAAAGATATTTTAGTATCTTTTTTAAAAAAAGATGGTTTGAAAAAGATATTTTAGTA